GTGGCAGCACACTGACCACCAGGGGGCAGCTCCTGCATTGAACGTCTGCCCCTTGGTGGTCAGTGTGCATCATAGCGACTGGGCTTAATGGTCGCTTAGGCTTTTATTATATAGATGCCAAAATTTATTTTTGAGAGTTTTCTTGTTTTCATTGAAGTTTATTTTGGCATGATAAAGATATCACCACCCTCCCCCAGCCATAAAAAGAAAAGTTAATATGACACTGAAAATCTATTGAATTGTCTTACTTTTATTAATTGAAAAAGCTATAGAAGCTGTTTCTTCTCATTTAAACATTTTTAATTAATAAAATACTAATTTTGCTGTACTTTAATCTGATAGTGAAATTGGGAGATTATATAAATTTATGTCTCTACAGTTAATAGTTATCAGTTATTTCACTTTCTGTAATACGCAAGACCCAAAGCTCACATTTACATAATGTGAGCTTTTTTAAACAACATAAACATGGACAGTTATTTAGAGAATATAACAAAATTTTAAAAGCTGATAAAATCACAAATGTCACAAATCTAAAAGGCATTATATGTGAATTAATTAAATGCCTGCCATACTTTTCTACTCTATTTTTTAAGCCTTTTTTGTTTTGCTTTGTCTTAACATTTATACAGTGTTGTATATGTTAAGTTATCATGGTCATCTCAACAAAAAATTCCTGTGCATAAACTGTTTCATTGTGTTTTCTGAGAATCAGACCAAGCAGATTCTTACTGTGTGGTCATAGTTGGATAATGTTATTCTGAACTATATGAAATTGCCAATTTTATTGGTCAAAAGTGATCAAATGTTAGCATTTTATAATATACTAGAGGCCTGGTGCATGAAATTTGTGCACTGGAGGGGGCACCCTCAGCCTGGCCTGTGCCCTCTCGCAGGAGCCTTCAGGAGATGTCCAACTGCTGGCTTAGACTCACTCCCCGTGGGCCTAAGCCGGCAGTCGGACATCCTTAGAGGCTCCCGCCACTGCCACTGCACTCGCCAGCTGTGAGCCTGGCTTCTGGCTGAGCAGCTCTCCCCTGTGGGAGCGCACTGACCACCAGGGGACAGCTCCTGCATTGAGCATCTGCCCCCCTGGTGGTCAGTGCGTGTCATAGCAACTGGTCATTCCGCCATTTGGTCAATTTGCATATTAGCCTTTTATTATATAGGTCTAGAGGTCCAGTCCCTCAGCCCAACCTGCACCTTCTCGCAATCTGGGACCCCTCAGGTAGGGTCCCTAGGCCTGGCTGGCAATCAAGGCCTGTGGAGGCTTTCCTTCCCCTGGCTGCCGGCAGTGGCCCCGCCCCCACCGCTGCCACTGCTTGCCATCTGTGTGGTGCTGCTCCCCCTCCCCACCACTAGTCGCCTCCCTCTGCAAGGCAACAGGTGTGGGGTGCGATCACTTGCCTGGCCTGGGCCTCCCTCTGTGGGGCAATCGATCACGGAGTCCCCAGATCAATCACCCTGCAGAGGGAGGACCCGCCACAGCGCTGCCAGCTGGGTAGCCTGGGCCTCCCTCTTTAGGGCAGTCATGGGGCTCTGTGATTGATCACCCAGCAGAGGGAGGCCCCGCCCACCCAGCAGGGCTCCATGGTCGATCACTGAGCAGAGGATGGCCTGGATCTCCCTTTTGGGGGTGATTGCAGAGCCCCCGATCAATTGCCCCACCAGCCAGTTGCCTGGGCCTCCCTCTGTGGGGCGATCGTGGGATGATGGCGGGGCCCCCCAACCAATCGCATTGCACCCGCCTTGGCTGGCCTGGCACCAGTGCATGTCATAGCATGGTCGTCCGGAAGGTCGTCTGGACGGTTGTTCTGCTGTTTGGTTGTTCAGTTAATTTGCATATTATGCTTTTGTTATTATAGATAACAAAAGGAAGAACCAAACAAAGATCTTTTAGAACAGATATATTGAGTTCCCATCCCAACTCTTCTTATCAGCCTATTAGAGGCTTTATGAAGGAGACTCTCAAACTACAGATAACCACAGGGCTACCAAGAAACGCTTTGTTTTGTTAAATTGTCCAGATTTCAAAGATATTTATTAAAAAGACTTCAGTAATTGAAGCAGATATCTTTTGGGAATACTTAAATTACATAAACTTTCATTAAGTCAATGTGTAGTTCTTTCATAACCTTAGATATTGTCATATATAAAGGATTAGTCTGTAAATATCACTTTAAGGCAAAAAGACTCCCCCACCTCATATCTAATATGGACTCAAATTTTGCTAATTATAGAATTTTATCTTCTTGGTAGGCATTTGGAGATAAAACTACTATGTTATATAGCCAACAAGTTTCCCTCAAAATGCCATTTAAAGATTTTTATACCTATACTAGAGGCCCAGTGCACCAGTGGGGTCCCTTGGCGTGGCCTGTGGGGATCGGGCTGAAACCGGCTCTCCGACATCCCCCGAGGGGTCCCGGATTGCGAGAGGGCACAGACCAGGCCGAGGGACCCCACCCGTGCACAATCGGGGCTGTGGAGGGTCAGCGGGAGGGCTCCAGGGCGTGTCCGGCTCGTCTTGCCTAGTCCCAATTGGCTGGACCCCAGCAGCAAGCTAACCTACCGGTTGGCGCATCTGCCTTTTGGTGGTCAGTGCACATCTAGCTACCAGTCAAACAGTTGCTTAGGCTTTTATATATGTAGATTTCAAGTGATAAGAATAAAAGTGAGTATAAAAACATAAAAATATGAAGCTTCTTCTACACATGAAATCCCCAATTTTAGTTACAGCTGTGATCTAAAAGGTTGTAAATTGAGTTGTTCCAAATTCAGATGTTGTTACAGCTCCTCATATAAATAATATTATGAATAAGGGTAACAGGTTAGCTAACAAGAGTTGATCTAGTACATTCCAGTATCTTGGTGTCTTGGTTTTGGATAAACTTTTATAGTGGAGAAAGCTTATTTTGATCTCTCAGTAACTTCTTGGTATACTTCTTCTTAGTTGATACCATGAGTCTTGCCCAAGTACATACCCTCTCCTTTACATTCCCCAAGATATTACCATCTGCCTTTTTTTTTTAATGTTTTTATTGATTTCAGAGACAGGAAGGGAGATGGAGAGAGGGATAGAAACATCAATGATGAGAAATAATCGATTGGTTGCCTCCTGCACACCGCCTATTGGGGATCGAGCCTGCAACCCAGGCATGTGCCCTGACCGGGAGTCGAACCGTGACCTCCTGGTTAACGCTCAACCACTGAGCCACATGAACAGGGCTGCCTTTTATCTTCAGTCTTCCTTATCAATACTTCCAAAGTATAACATCTCAAGTGTTAGGAAGAAGGAAATTTGCTTTAACTTATTAACATTAAAGTGTTGGTGACTGTAGCCCTTTTACCTCTGTCTTAAAGAAAAATCTGCATTTAAGAACAAACACATTATTCAACAATAAAGATTTAAAATAAATAAATAAATAAATAAATAAATAGAACAAATACATTAGTGCCCGTGCAAATTACTATCAGTTAATAGAATATTAAGCTTTAAGACAAAAGTGAAAATAATCTCAGTGTTGATGGGACTATTGTGAGGCAAGAGATATTAAATGACCGAACTTAGGAATCTGCCCCTCTTTCACCAAACCCATGAAATGTCTGAAAGTGCTGCATATTTTCAGTGACCTTGAGGAAGGGAACTAGTCACTTGTAATTATGGGTTCTATGATGTCAGTGCCATGCTGATCCTATTTTTTTTTTCAGTTTAAGGTTGTGTCCAGAGCATCCTAGGTAACCATCATCCACACTATTCTCCTGAGATGGCCTATGTTTCGGTCTTGACCTATCTTCCAGCTCTACTCATTGATATTAAATTTACAGGTGAACACTGTCCATTCTTGTAAAAAAAAAAAAGTCTTCATTTTACTGTTATCAAGAATGACTACCACCTTCTCTTTTTTCAAGAGATATAAAGGTAGAAAAGTTATTCCTTTTTTTCATTATTTTCCTTTTAAAACTATTATTTTTAAATAGCTGGCAGTTAGCAATTTAGTTTCCAAACCTGTTTTGAATTAAATTGACAAGGCAATTCTAAAATTTTAATCTTGCTTTATCATATAAACATCTAGATAGAAAGTGTTTATGCTAAAGACATGTATTTTGTGGCATTAGTTCTTCATGTTTCTCTTTTGTGTATTGAAAATTGTTCATTCATTTCCAAGTGAGTGGGAAAGTTACTATTGTTGAGATGTGTATAGGGCAAGTGCACTTGATTAGAGCATGAACTGTATTTTTACATTAGCTGGATGTGCTTTGCACTCTGCTCTTGTAGATTTATTTTGTTTACAGTAGACTACTGTCAGTTTTTGTAAATGTTTTTACTTAGCACTTTAACTGTGAGTGTACAAACTGATTTTAAATGTAGTGGTTGTATATTTTGGTTATAAACTGGAAATTTTTAATAAAATAAAATAATTTGTTCTCTGTTTTGTCATTAGTACCTGATTGAATATAATTTTTTAAATCATCTTCTAGCCGAACTAGCGTGGCTCAGTGGTTGAGCCTTGACCTATGAACCAGGAGGTCATGGTTGGATTCAGGTTGGGGCACATGCCCATGTTTCAGGCTCCATCCCCAGTAGGGGATGTGCAGGAGGCAGCCGATCAATTATTCTCTCTCATCATGATGTTTCTCTCTCTCTCTCCTCCCTTCCTCTCTGAAATCAATAAAATATTTTTAAAAAATCACCTTCTAGACTCTATTAGACTTCTACTTTTAAATTAGGATATTCTTGTAATAATCACTTTTCATTCATAACATAGGATTCACATTAATCTGGAACATAGCATACAAACACACACCATCTTGTATCATGGCTCTTTCACATTTACTTTGTCAATACAGGTTAAGACCCATCTCTGTACGTTGTCACATCCTCTGTACATAACACGTATCCTCAGTACTAGGCACATAATAGGGGCTCAGTGAATATCTGCTGCAAAACATGAATCCATTGGATACAGCCCCGGGAGCCTTGTGACGCAGTTGCACGCATGGGTAGGGGCGGGGGAAGTAGCAGCCGCCAGCGCGGTCCGCCCTCTTCCACTGCGGCCGTGGGAATGGAAACATCTGACCCACAGGCCAGCGCCCAGCCTTCGCGGGTATCATCGCGAGACCAGCTCGCTGGACTATCCGTGTCCAGTCAGGGACATTTTGACTCACTGGACCTTGCAGAACTGGCTAAAAAGCAACAATGGTGGCATAAGCTCTTCGGGCAGGAATCTGGGCCCGCAACTGAAAGGTATAGCATGGCCGCCCAGCTGATAATTGGAGGTGTCACTGGATGGTGCACCGGCTTCATATTCCAGAAAGTTGGGAAGTTGGCTGCAACAGCTGTGGGAGGAGGTTTTCTCCTCCTTCAGCTTGCGAACCATGCTGAGTACATCAAAATAGACTGGCAACAAGTAGAGAAGGACATGAAGAAAGCCAAGGAACAGCTGAAAGGCCAAAGGAGCACCCAGTTCCCTATGGAGGTGAAAAGCAAAGCTGAGGAGATCGTGTTGTTTGTGAAGACGAACATCATGTTGGCTGGTGGATTTCTCGGAGGCTTTCTGCTTGGCATGTATTCCTAAGGAGGACAACTTCGTTTCCATTATTCCTGGCTTTCTACCTACTAGCCTCTTCACTCCATCTTAGGACATCAAGTCTCTTCTTACTCCTCCTCTGTGCCTTCCTCCCTGCTGTGGCATATCTGAATGGCTTCTATAAGGCATTTGTTGGTACAAACTGATATGGCCCTACTGTGAGCCTCCGGCAGCACCGGAAGAGATAGCAGACATTAGCTCTCCTCCCAGAACACTCCCCACCTGACTAATCTGTAGGTCAACAAGAATGTTCCTTTCCCCCTATATAAGATATTTCCTAAAACATAGTGCAAGATGGCTCACCATGGAGGATAGGTGGATCCTCAAAGGTTGTCCCAAACTTGATTTGGAAAAGGAGTAACAAGCACATAGATACGTGACTATGTGCTGCATGAAAAGGAACTGAATACATTCGCCTTAAAGCATGAAAGGGGGCGGGGGGCGGGGGGGAAGAATACATTAAAGTATATCAATTTCCCAACAGGAAAGCCTACTCACATAAGCAAATCACTTTTGGGTGTTTTTGTTTTTCTTGTTTTGTTTGCATAAGAAGGCAGACCAGGATTTAAACTACTATTAGAGTTTCTTGCCTGGATCATGCAGTTTTTAGTTGGAAGATACCTTAGAAATCATATGGTTCAATCTTCAACCCAGTATAGGAATTCTTCAGAACCATCTTTTATAAGCCTCTGCATGAATGATTTCAGTAATAGGAAGCTCACTATGTAAGGCCTTCCATTCCATTTTGAGGCAGCTTATTATATAAACGTTTTCCTTATATTGAGTGACAGATGTATTTCTTTGTTACCTTCACACATTGGTATTGCCCTACAGATATCCAGTAATTCCTTCACAGTATTATTTTCTAAACATTTGAGAAAAACTATGCTGTTTCATCCAAATTTTTTCTCTAGGCAAAATATGTCCCATTCTCCAATTCCTGTCTTATTTTTCTATTCTCTCATGACTTCCTTTTAGACCCAGTAGTTCCCTTCCAAAGACTCCAGTTGTGAATATTCCTCTTAAAATTTTCCACAGAACTGAACACGTTTCTCCAGATTCTATAAAACCAGTGAAGAATTCAGTATATACTATATTCTGTACATTACACTTCTGTGACGTTTATCATAGAAAAATGGGACATTCTTTTTTACAAAGATCTCTCCTTAATCATTGAAAGGAAATGAAGAGATGTATATATACATTTTCATCAATTATTCAAACTCTGTTTGCCAGTGAAAGTCCAATATTTCCTGGAGGCATTGATTGATGACTATGTGCCAGGCAATGAACCTCAAAGTATCTCCTGACAATTAAGGTGGGAAAAGGTCCTAACTTATTGTTATATGTTGCTAACTTTAAGGAGTTAACATTTGAAGGGAAGGGAGGAATTTTTGAGTGGTTTATTTTATGTTGATCATTAGCTAATTTTATAGATCAATGTTGATCATTAGATTGAGTAATAAATCAGTGTATGTGCTGGAGCACATAGATACATGTGTATACAGTTTCTTCATCTATAAATGAAAATATTGGACTAAACCAAAGGCTTTTAGCTATGGGATTCTTTCATCAGTATAGTAAGTCTCAGTATATAAACAGATAAAGACTGTTTAAAGAGAAAGTGCCTAAAATCCCACATAAGCCTAACCCTTCTCTTTCTCTCTTCACTACAGCATCCCTTGAAGCACCTAGATTGAACTCCCATTTTAAAAATTACTAAATCAGCCCTGGCTGGTGTTGCTCAGTGGATGGAGCATTGGCCCATGAGAAGGGTCATAGGTTTGATTCCTGGTCAAGGGCATATACCTGGGTTGTGGGTTTCATCCCTGGGGGTGCAGGAGGCGACCAATGGACGTCTCTCTCTCCCCTTCCTCCCACTCTCTCTAAAAATCAATGGAAAAAGTATCCTCGGATGAGAATTAAAAAGAAAGAAAAGAGGAAAAAAAGATAGAAAGAAAGAAAAGAAATTACTGAATCATTCTATATCTTAATTGTGATGGTCACACAAATCTACAAGTGATAAAATGGCACAAAACTACACACACACAAATGAGAGAGTGTAAAACTGTTGAAATCTGAATAAAATAGATGGATTGTATTTATGCCAATTTCTTTCTTGGTTTTGATATTTTACTCTAGTTACAAAAAATGTTACCATTGAGGGAAACTGGGTATGGGTATTATTTCTTAAAAACTGCATGTAAATCTATAATTATCTTAAAATATTTCGCTGACTCCTGATCCAACCCAAGACATGATAAAACAGAAGCTCACTAAGCTGGAAGGAAAGTTGGGACTAGGAAGCCACTTCCCCTGACTTTTAGAGAAGAATGTGTTCCTCTAGAACAGAGATTCTCAAATTTTCTTTTGCATAAAAATCACCTGGGGGTGGGGAGGGAAGGATAGTATGAAAAAAAAAATGATTCTCAGGCCCACTCGTCAGAGATTTAGATTCAGTAGGTCTGAGGCAGGACCCAGGAATCTGAATGTAAAAGCACACATGATTCTCATGCCTCTGGTCCAAGGACCACACTTTGAAAAATATCTTATTGCCCTACCAGGGGTGGGCAAACTTTTTGACTCGAGGGCCACAATGGGTTCTTAAACTGGCCCGGAGGGCCGGAACAAAAGCATGGATGGAGTGTTTGTGTGAACTAATATAAATTCAAAGTAAACATCATTACATAAAAGGGTACGGTCTTTTTTTTTTTTTAGTTTTATTCATTTCAAACGGGCCGGATCCAGCCCGCGGGCCGTAGTTTGCCCACGGCTGCCCTAGCCAGTGGTCGGCAAACTCATTAGTCAACAGAGCCAAATATCAACAGTACTTCTTCAAAATAGCCTCGCCCAGGCGAAAACCGACTTCTGCGCATGGGCCACGAAGTTTCAATCGCACTGTACATGCGCCCGCATGTGGTATTTTGTGGAAGAGCCACACTCAAGGGGTCAAAGAGCTGCATGTGGCTCGAGAGCCGCAGTTTGCCAACCACAGCCCTAGGCAATAAGTAAATCCTCTATATGACAGATGGACAAATAAGCAGGGGATGATGAATTGTTTTGAATACTTTTCTAGTTGTCTTCCCTTCCCCTTTGCCCCAGAATCCCTTGCTCAGCAGCAGCTTGCCTATGCCATGGGGTGGGCACATGGGAAGTATGCAGACATCTGCTAGCTACCCTCGTGGGCACAGTACAACTCTAGGGAGGTGACGGGCCAGTTTTGAGTCAGCTTTACTAATGAGCATCACTTGTTGACTGACTCTAGGGGAGGAGCTCATTATTTATGTTTGGCCCAGAGCCTTCTCTTGTAGGGCTGCAAATGAATAGATGTCATACGGCTTCCATGTTCACCTCAGTGGAAAAAAGTGGGAAGATCATCAAAGCAACAATTTAGTTCATGCTTCTCGTTGAAAAGGGTCAGATTAGCTGGAAGGAAGCTTGTGGAGGCTGTTTGGCACAGAATTTTCACACTTGATCTATTCCTTTCTTCCTCAATTGCATTACCCCTGCCCATCCCACCCTGATCCCTTGAATGGGGTCATTGTTTGCACTAAGTCATCCAAATGAAAGCTTCTGTTCTTTTGAGCAATTCCTACCCCCAGTCCCCAGATGCTTAGGAAATATAACCCCTAAGAAAACAACACAAGGTTGAGAATATTATGTCAGGAGTCGCTTTTCCTGTAAAGGGCCCGGCCTAATCCAGGAACTTCATTTCTTTTATTATCCCCGCTTCAAACCCCCTGCAGTACAAGAGAAATCTTGTAGCTCTTCATCTCTTGGTAAGAACTCTAGAATGAAAACCCTAGAGTCAAGTGTATATACTTGGAGTTAAAACTTAAGTTGGAAAATAAGTTGGAATTTGTAGAGCTGAACTTTAAAATGTTTTCCTAGGCTGTCCCCAACTGACACTCCAAGGAAAGGGAAGAGGCCTAGAGCAAAGATCCAAAGATCAGATTTATTTATTTTTATTTTTTTAAAATTGTTTTATTGCTTAAAGTATTACAAAGAGTATTATATATGTCTCCTTTTTTTCCTGCCCTTGACAATCCCCTGGCCTCCCCTACCCCCCAGTGTCTTATGTCCATTGGTTATGCTTATATGCATGCATACAAGTCCTTCGGTTGATCTCTTACCCTCCCCTCCTGCCCCCCAGCCCTCCCCGGCCTTCCCGGTGTAGTTTGACAGTCCCAAAGATCAGATTTAGATACTTTAGGTTGATGGTTGCAATATAGATAGGCACATTCTTTGATCATAAGACCACATTATACACAAGTGCAGAAAGGAAGGTTCCTTTCATTCCTTCCCTGCTCCTATAGCCCACAGGTACTGGAAGGGAGAGAACCCTCAGGTTGTGTGGCAACCTTTGCTCCTGCTGCTATCCATGACACCTGGGACTTCCCCTGACCCTTGGACAACTTCTGAGCTGACACTGTATTGACTGAAAAATGTTTTCATCTATGTGGATCCCTTCTTTGAACTAAAGAGAGACAGGAGCCATGAGAAGTGGATGACTTGCTAAGATAACACCGCTCAGCAGCATGGATTTCCTCTTGATGTTAGTCTAGAATGGTTCGTATCATTAAGTTTTAAGACCATACTGCTCCCTTTTAATGAGTGGAGTACATTTGGAGGAGAGAAAAGATGGGAGGGGAGATTAAACAGCACTGAGGAATGCTCATCTTCAAAGTTTAGCCCATAGTCTGGGTGAGATGGGGTGGAAGCTGGTGTCAGCCCTTTTCTCTGCTGCCCCCTTTCTTCCCTGTGGCTCTTTCTAGCCATCTCTCTACCTTTCTGTTTCTCTGCATCTTTCTCTTTGCTTCCACTTTTCTGTTTGGACCAGGAGTTCTTAACCTGTAGTTCATGGATCCCTTGAATATAACACAAACATGTCCACTTTATGGGGAAAGCCCTATAGTTCCTCATTTTCTCAAAGAGGGCGTGATGAGAAAAAAGTGAAGAACCATTCTTGACGTTGCCTCCCTTTTCCC